AGAGCGCCAGCTGACAGAGTGGAAGTACGTGAGCGATGCGGAGAAGGAGAACGTGCGCACGCTGCTTGCGGAGCTCCGCAAGGCCATGGAGAATCCCAACGTGACGAAGGACGAGCTCTCGGCGGAAACCGACAAGCTGCAGAAGGCGGTTATGGAGTGCGGCCGCACTGAATATCAGCAGGCTGCGGCGGCCAACAGCAGCAGCTCCAGCAGCGGCTCCAGCAGCAACACAGACAGCAATCAGGGCGACCAGCAGCAACAGCAAGAACAAGGCGATCAGCAGAAGAAGTAAGGATTATCTTTTGCTATAAATTTGTGCAATGATTACCATATTGTTGTGTGAAGATGGCGACACTGAATTTGAAATGAGTCTTCGAAATGGTATATTATTTATGCTGTGGAAGATTTTAAATTTTAAGGAGTGCTGAAGTTAATAATGAGGGAGCTCTGCAAATTTACACCGGATCTTGGGCGAGGTGTTGGTCCGGTGTAGTGAGAGGCTTTGAGGAATAGTTGCAACCTGAATTATGATTTATTATTATTGTCATTCGTAGTTTTTTTCGAGTATGTGCTTTCTGTCGTGCTCTCCTTTTTTGGTCTTGTATTGCGCACGCTCGGGAAGTAATTGTTACGTTGCCGAACTGTGGGAGTTTTGTCGTTGTCGGCGTCATATGTTTGCTCTCTCTGTGTGTTGATCTTTTCTCTTCAATTTGTGCACAAACGTTTTTTTTTTGTTATTCAAAGGCGTGTAGGGTTGACGGTGCCAAGGTGCCCCAGTGGAAGGATGTTTTTGTGATTGAAGCCTTTGGATTTCTCATTTCGGCGGTCACGCTTCTTTTGCAGTTGTGTGTGTTATTCCACTCGTTTGCGTTTGAGTTGTGTGGGTGGGTGGGTTAAACCTCCAGCGGTTGTAACGGTTGGGTGCGATTTTATTATCTTGGGCTGCGCACGGGTGATGCGACCTATACGATGGACTCTGGCGCGTGATCCTTTTGCGGCGCTGGGCCTTGGCCGCAGGGCCACAAAAGCATAGATCAAAACGCGCTATCGCGAGCTCGCGCGTCCTCATCACCCGGATGCTCCCGCTGGCAACAGTGAAAAGATGGAGCAGGTGAACAAAGCGTACAACCTGTTGATAAAGGAGGGTGCGTATGAACGGATGCGTGTGAAGACGCCTGGTGCGAAGGCAGGCAGCGGGACCCGTCGTCCATGTCCGTTTTTCCAGGAGAGTGTGGAGCAACGAGATAAGAAGGAAGCCCCAGAGGAAGGGTTCTCAGAGGAAGAAATAGCCAAAGTGAGTGCGCTGGACCCCTCCACCGAAAGGGTGACGCCTGCTGGAAAGTATATGTATGAAAGCCGTGATGATGGGAGTTGGATGGAGCTAGACAAACCCTTAGTGCGTGTACACCAGCCGAGGTACGCCTCGTACGCAGCGCAGGCAGAGATGTCATAGGAGTTGCGGCGCAGGTCGCTTGCAAAGGAAAAAGAGGAAAATGCAAAGACCATGTTTCAGCGTCTTGTAGATCGATTGAGTGATAGTGCAGATCTTTCGTCGCGAAATTCACTGTTATTGCGATTTTACTTTCTCTTCGCGTTGGTGGTGCTATACTTCACGTATCAGCGTGCATTTGCTTGGGGCAAACGCCGACGGAGTAGGGCCGCTTTCTACGCCTCCGTCGAGCAGAAATGGCATGAGCTTTTGGAGATGTATAACGAAAATCGGGACGGTTTGGAGACTTCTGTTGCTGCTGCTGCCATTCTTTTTCTAGCTGCTAGTCAGAATAAACAGGAAAGCGATCCTTTTGTGCTACCCACGCCTGAAAAACTATTCAGGGAGGTGCGACCGCCTCGAGAACATTTTTACGTGATTTCAGGCGGATAGTATTGCCCCATTTATACAGTGACACACTGAGAGATACACCGAAACATAAATGCATACCAACGTGTATATTTGCTTCTCACAACGCCAGTGCAACTTCATTATTTTCGTTGCTTGGGTGTTATTTTGTGTCTCTCTGCAAGTCCTTTTTAAAAAAAAGTGTTTGCCTTCTATTTTATGCATTTCTATGCTGTTATATATTTATTTACAATATGCGTTCGAAGTCCCTCTTGGGTTTTATTTTGATGTCTCCCTTACGGCAACAGCAAAAAAAAAGGATAAGGTGAGGAATTAGGTGTTACAGGGATAGGGCGGGGAGGCAGCGATTAAGGCGTGGGACTTGGAGCATAACATCTGCTTGTGTTTTGTTTCCTTTTCCGCTTTGAAGAAGTTTTTTTGGCTTTGTTGCAGAGGGGAGCGGGAGCGAGTCTGAAAGTAGTAGTATTGTTGAGTGCAGGCATTCATGCAGGAAGTGCCATCCGGCAATCCGTATTGGAGTGGTGAGGAAGAGGAAATAGAAGCACATGACAGTGGGTGTGACAGCTCTTCTGATGAATCCGAATGGGGAACTGTAACGAGGGCCTTTTGTATCAACGGCATCCTGGAGGAGAGGGGGAAGAAGGAGGAGGGGAGTCTAGAGGATGGAGAGGGGGAGAGGCAGCTCTACCTTCCAGAGCCTGTTATCTCCTTCACGGCGACGCAGAGGCCGGAACTACCACGACTGCCGCCGGAGAGCCTTCCGCCTGGCTGTCATGTGTGGGTAGTGGATGAGGATGACGTTCATCTTTTGTTGCGGGAAAACTGGGATGACTCATACAGCGCGGTCTGTAATGGCAGACTTTGTGGTACCGTAGTTAGACACTCTAATAACGTGACACTTGTTTTATTTTACGATGAGCACCTTGAGATGAGCTACAGCCTGAGTCTTCCGCGTGTTTGTCTGTCGAAGGTTCCAATGAAGGTATACCACCACTCACCAGGTGGGAGCAATCGGCTTTTTGAATCTTGCTTCGGTATTGGAAATCTTGACCCGCGGGCAGGGTGTTTCCGCGAGGAGGCTGCAACTTCGAAGATTAATAGGCAATTTTATGAGTCTCTATCGGTGATGGAAGTTCAGCCGCCGCAAGCTTTGCCCCAGTTGGCTGTGGTGCAGGAAAACCTTAACGAGGGGGCCTACGAAGCAGCATTGACGCTGTTAGACAACTTGCCATCAAATGCAGTCAGTCGAGTAGATGTTTTAGTTTTGCGTTCACGTACAAATGTCTTTCTAGGACGCTATCAAGAGGCGCTCAAGGACGCACTGGGGGCGATTGAAGAAGAACCACGCTGGGTAAGAGGGAACCTCGCGGCTGCCCGGGCCTTTAGTGGACTTTGCAAATTTGAGGAAGCTGCACGTCAAATTAAGCGTGCCAGGTTGCTCCTGCCACACAGTCACGAGCTGCGAAGAATTGAGGAACTTAATGCCTTTATGCTCAATATACAAGTGGAGTTACCAAGTAACGGTTTGAATCTTTATTTGGACGCTCAGTACGCCAAAAAACTTGTCTCATTTCGTATGTTTAACACGAATGAAGTGGTGTTTAGAGGGGATCATGTAATTTTGGCGATGGAGTCAATCTTTGCAACTTCATCCGATAGATGTTGTGTATGTTTGAAACCTGAAGGAAAAATGATGCGTGTTCCCGTTGATTTGGAGGGGAATTCCTCTGAGAAAATGGCGTGTTACTGTAGTGTAGAATGCCAGCAACGGTCATCACTTTTTTTCGTTATGGAACTCGGTCGCCACCGTGTGGCTGTGGAGCGTGCACGGGATCTTATATCTTGTACCCTCGCACAAACAGCCAATCAGGTGCCTTTAGACATGACCTACATGACAACCCGACTTTTCTTGATGATATGTGTCACACATGAAAGACTCGCGTCCAAACGGCGTCCGGCGCGACGTCTCAATGACATTAGTGCTGCTTCCAACTTTTCGTTTGAAGAGAGTTGTCACAGCAGTGGATCGGATAGGACTGGGTATTTGCCGCTCAAAGCTGCGCTTCAGCATTTAGGCGTGTACCCACTTCCAACAGACCAGCTTAGTTCCAGCGCCCGGGAGAAAATGTATGTACTGTATAACACCCTCACCGCCTTCTTCTCGGATAGTGAGAAGCAACTCTACCCACCTGCTCTATTCTACGCATTGTACGAGTACGTGTGCGCGTTTGCTGTTGCTATGCACGTGCGTCAGCCGGACAGTATAATTTATTACCTTCCAAAAATTATGGGGGCAGTCCGTCATGTGGAGGCATCAGAGGCGAACTGTCGTGTTCTCGCCAATGAGACTGGAACCGGCATAGCGCTCGTTGCATCCAGGAATATTTTTCCCGATGAGGCACTTTCAGTTCCTTATTGGAAAAGGTTCAATACGGAGTGAATCACGCTCATGAACGTTTAATCTATGTTGTTTGTTTTTCTCGCTTTGCTCTGAAACACAGCAAGTTTGTACTGACTTATCATATTTTACAAAGTGGGGTTTGTCGGATTACATTTTTGGCTGTTGTTCTTTTAATTTTTTTCTTTCCCTCCCCTCCTGGGTGTGTGTAGCTGTGCGTCTCTGCGTTTTTTTTTTTTGGTTTTGTTTGTACTTTTGGTGTGCTTTTCCAAACAGCGTCACTGTAGTGCTACACGGCGGTGTGTGATTGGTCCTTACAGATTGTTTCCGTTGTTAGTTTGTGGGGAAGCCGGCGGTGTTCGCGGCAGTGTCCGGCATATATTTTTCACCCCCTCCCTTTTTTTCTTTCCATTGTGCTCCAACTGTTCTCCCTTATTTTTTTTAATTACTTTGCATTTACGTGTACGTGTGTGGGGCTCCACAGTCTTGTAAACGGTCTTGGTTGCTTCCCCTTTGATTATATGTGGGTCACAACCAATTCCTTATGCTATGCCTTCAGTATGAGGCGGACGTGCATTTATGCAAGGAAACGCACACGTACGCATCGATGTAGAGAGAGTAAAAAGAATGGGGTGATGTTTGAAAGGATTATTATTATCCTTATTATTATCATTATTATTTTTTGTATGTGGGTGGGTGGGGAGATGTGAATCACTTGTCTTACCTTTTTTACCGGATTTGTTTGGGACCTGTATTTGCAATTTCACTCCCACGCTCTCATAGTTGTCACAGCGGCGGCTAGTGTCACTCTCCCCACCTTCATTATCACTGCTATCTGTAGTGTCGCGTCCGCACCTTTTCTTTCCATCTCCGCATTTCTGCTGGTGTATTATTTTGTGTGTTGCTTTTATATATAGGTGTATTTTTTGTGTGTTTGTCTTCATTTATTTTCTTTTTTCCTTCTTTTTTGCCACTTTACTTCACTTAATTTGGCTCATTTTTCTCTGTCCCACAGTAGGACGCATGCCGTCGTCGTCGCTCTCGCTGTTGCAGTTGCGCGAGAAAGCAGCGCTATTTCCGGTGCTCACACTCTATAGCTGCATAAGCGATGCTGAGGAGAGCAGCAATGGGGCTCGGTACAGCGCCCAGGACAAATTTACGGGATGCATGTACGAGGTGCGTTGTCTTCCTTTGAACGTCTCCTCATCGCAGAGCGACCTTCACAAGTTATTGGCGGTGCAGCAAAAGCGATTAGACGCATTAACTTCGGCCTCTGTGCGAGGAAACGTTTCAGCGTCTGTTTCCCTTCCCATTGATGCATATGTGCAGGAATTGGCGTCTAGCAAGGAGTATTTTGTAGTCTCTGTGTCATCGTTTGGCGGTCTTTCTTTGGGTGATATGATTCGAGCTGGCTGTCGGCTTTTGGAGAATGCTGATTTTAATGAAATCCTTAGCTGTGTAGAGGAATACGCGTGGGAGAGTGTACGATTGCCGCCCCACCGCAATTTGACTTTGAACGCCCTTCTACGTCAGCTCACTGTGCGTTCTGGTGCCGTTGAGAGGGATCATCCCTCCCGTTGGGTGATTGGCGACTGGCAGCTACTCGCGGAGGACGCTGCACCTACGACGCATGAGGAGCTCGTTGGAGATTTGGAATGGTTGTTGTATTCAGCATTTGAAAAACTGGGTGTCTCATGCGACCCGGACGGGAATGTGCTTCGGAGGGACGTTGTAGAAATGCGCATCAACGAGACGATTGAGCGTATTCGAAAGGGAGCTGTGACTGGAGTGGGGCGTAGTCCAAGAGCATCCCACAGCAACACCCACGTGAAAAAGCAAATCCATCAAACAAAGTCTGTGATTGTAAATGGTGATACTACTACTACTACTACTACTACTACTACTACTACGACTACTACTACTGCTGGTATTGATAGTGGAGTTAACGGTAACGGTAGTGACTCGAATGAGTTAGTAGACAAGGTTGCTTTGCATAGGCGGAAACTAAATGAAGAGCAACAATTCCTTCGGAGCTTTCGCAGTGAGGAAGAGAAGAAAGGAAATAGCCGGGGCATGCTTAACCGTGACGAGGAGGAACTGGATGACGTGGAAGTTCCCCGTCGGCGTGTAAAGGTCATGGAGGTGTTTTATCCGAGCAAACTTCTAAGGAACGTCACATTAGAAACAGAGGCGAGCAGGAAACAGTTTGTTGGAAAGAAGGAGGCCATATTGGATGCCGTCACTGAAACAGTATATATAGGTTTGCAGCGTAGTAGGCAAAATCGCCAAATTGAAGATGATGCAGTTCAGATGCGGCGCGGGGCCATTCTTTCCATGTTAATACGATCAGCAACGCTGGCAAACAAACATGCCAAGCCTTCTTTAGTAGACGCAAGAAATACGTCTCCAAGTTCTCAGCCTACTGTACAAGGGGTATCTAGACTTCCAAACGGTTTGCCTTTGACAACAGAAGGGTTCATCCCACACAGTGATGATTGTATGTGTAGTGACACGACGACCTTTTGTAGGAGTCCTTCTCCCGTGGCACTGCAGCCCGATTTACCGAAAAGGGGAATCGGTCCTGTTTTATCGTCCAGTAATCTGGAACGTGAATGTTTTTCTGCAGCAAAACATGAAATGAGTGACGTTAGTGGGGATCAGTTGATGACTAACTTTCCTATGTCAGCGAAGGGAGAAGCGCCTTCATCCTCGCAAAAGGGCACCGTCGGTCCTCAAGCTAGCAGGTACACCATTTGTCGTACCGACCAACACCTACTGTCTCCGCGAAAAGGAGCCTTCAATGGCGTCAATACAACAGAAAGATCCCCATTAGCTGGTACCTTCCCTCAGGGAAGGACACCACGGACAACAAGGAGACGCCAACAAACCGAGAAGGGGAATAAACATAACATTCGTTCAGCACCTCGACGACTCGTGGGAAACTATTCAGTTCCACGTTTAGCAGTGGGAAATACGGTGCTGGGTGGGACGGGTTTTTCCAATACCTTACCAATATCACAAAACAAGAGTGAAGTGTTGGGTGTTTCACAGCCTTTCTGGAGAGGTGAAGATAAATATAGATCGCCTTGTGTAACTACAAGAGGCCTTGGAGGTGCGGGAGGTCTCTCACGGGGTAGTGTTTTTCATGTTAATGGGTCTTTTTTGGGTGCGACAGCGAGACGACGTCATGCTGGTCTTGGTGATAGCCTTGCATGAAGAGATGGAAAAGTCCAAGGTTGAGGTGGGTCTTCTCTAAGGCTTCTGCTTTGTGGTTCTTAGTTTACTTTTTTTGCGTTTATTTCCAGTAATGAGAAATATGGAGGAGCTGTTTTCCCTTCCTGAACTATATGTTTTTTCTTCGGCTTCCTTCATATTTTTCTCACTGTGTGTGTGTTTTTTTTTGTCTTTTTTCTTTGTTTTTTATTTGTATATTTTATTTGTAATGATGAACTATATCTAAGCGGATACGCCACTTTGACCCAGCACGTGCCCACAAGGTGTCCTGGGGATGTGTTGCCGTTGTCGTTGTATTTTATATGAACTTCAGTTCGCTTGTAGAAGGGGGAAAAAAATGCTCAGCACTGATCAATACACTGCACATTAGGCCTTTTGCTTTCGATTGGCTGCCCCAGTCGGAGTTGCAGAGCAGAAAATGAGGTGGCGTAACTCCTGTTGTTGTTATTCCTTTTTATTTTTGTTTTGCACCTTTGTTTATGGTGTGGGAGGTGATTGAATGTACACAAACGGAGAGGCACAAACAACTGGCGATGTTGCAGGGGTGCTAAAGTTTAGCCTGTTGGGCTTTGTTCTTGGTTGTGTGATGGCTGTAGCGGTCGACTGGCTTCTCCACCAATGCCGAGAATGTCTACAGGCAAGTCACATTTTCTCTAGTTTAGCTGCGGGGGAAGGGAAACAGTCATTTACCCAGCTGCAGCAACCACAGCCGCTGCCTTTTACTCCTGAAGTTGGACAGGGGGAGGAGGAAGAGGAGTGGAGTACTGAGGCCGAAGAGGAGGCGGAGGAAGAAGACGAGGGGACCTCTGATTACGACAGCGAGTTGGAGTGCATTGAGGAGCTTCAGCTAAAAATGGTGCTAGTCATCCGACGAGATGTAAGGGATATGACTACTAACGACATCTGCGCACTCTCCGCCGGTGCTGCTGTGAACCTGGTGCAGAAAATACAACGCGATGGGGAGCACAAGGAATGGAAGGTGTGGTATGAGTGGTGGAGACGTGTGGGGTGTGCTAAAATCACGCTTAAATCCCCTGATTACTGCACACTTCGACAGGTCGCACTTGCCGCGGAGGCGCGTGGACTTCCGTGGCATGACACCTTTGCCATGCCCTCGTCCCTGGTCAAGAAAGATAATGATGAACAGATGGGAGTGGTGGTGGCTGTTGGCCCAGCACCGTCTGCGATACTAAACCCCATCACCGGAAAACTGAAATTGCTTTCCTGAGACAACTGTGAGGTCATCTCTCCGGTGGCTGTTGAAACATGGGAACGAACCCGGAAAAAAAAAAAAATGAAACAAAAATATATATGAAAATCAATAATTATTACCTTTTTATTCTTTTCTCTTCTTGGAGAGCGAGGAATTGTTGATGTTGGTTTGCACTATTGTGTTGCAATGTTTCTTCGCTATCATCTTTGTTGCTGTCGCGCTTTTACTGTTGAATTGTTTCTATACTTGATGCGAATTACGTTGTCGATTTGCGTACGGGAAGGTGGCTGTGGGTGGAGTGCGATCAAAGGATGGAGCAAGGCATTCAACATGCCCATTATGAACTGGAGCGCAGTGAGTTAAATCTCCACTTTACGGGCTCAGGGTGTATTGTCCTCGTCGATGGAACGGCATCCGTCTACGGCGCACCTCTTAAGCGGAACGTGCGTTATAATTTTCCTCGGTGTGGCATACCCGTGGCGTCTCCACTGACTTGTCGATTGCATGTGGAAGGGGAATTCACAGCCACAGTTGATTTTCTTAACTCTGCAGTTGACGATATACACGCTGTGTTGGATCTTGCACGGACTGAAGCCACTATGAGCAATGATGCGTCCCGCGACTCCCACGATGAAGCCCCACGAGGACCCCGTGCTCTCATCATTGGGGGTCAAAATACCGGTAAAAGTAGTCTTTGTCGAGCTCTTGCGAACTTGGCAACCTGCGATAAAAAATATGGGGTTGCTCTGGTGGATGCAGATGTCGGCCAGCAGGGCATCGCTTGTCCTGGGAGTATTGCCACTGCATTTATCGAAAATTACATACCCGTAGATGATGGATTCAACACAATGATGCCCTTAACCTTTTTCTTTGGAGATAAAATTGTTAATGCATCTTCCCGAAAACGTTATTTGGACATATGTGCCTTTGCCGCGCAGGCCATTGATTCAGTCTGTATGTCGAAACCTCAGTACGCAACAGGTGGAGTCATAGTGAATACAATGGGTTGGACGACAGGCATTGGGCGAGACGTCCTATTCGAACTGGTTTCGGTGTTCTCCATCACACATGTGGTCGTGTGCGGTTTTGAGGAGGATCTCGCGGAGGAAGTACGAAAGACTGCCGTGGGCCGTAGCATTACACTCCTCAGGTATCCAAAGCAGCCGCACATATTTGAGCGCGGGCCATCAGAACTCAGTGAATCACGCACGAAGCAGTTGGTAACGTATTTTAAAGGCACACTAAGAACGCCCTTGTCACCCTACCGCGGTGTTGCCTTTGTAAAGGACGTGCAGTTTGTGAATGCGTTGACCCTGGAGGTGCTTTCTTGGCAAGAGGTGGCGCCGTTGAGTTTGGTTGCTGTTTCATGGTCCGATTCTCTTGAGTCTGTGGATGAGGCTAACATTGCTGGTTTTATAGTCCCACTAGAGATTGGAAGGAAGTTTTTTTCATTTCTTTCTCCTGCGTCTGGAAGTCTTCCAAAGCCATTCTTGTTAGTATCACCCACCATTAAACTTCCATCGTCGAAGGTACCGCCGTTCAGTGCCTCTTGATGAAATCTATTTGGTCATTAACCGTCTAATTCTTGATGTGGGGCCCAGAATCCAAAGAATCCAAAAAAAAAAAAAAGGACTGTGAAGGGGTGAGAGATGGTCGTGTATGTGTCTGTTTTGCTTAAATGATTTTTTTTTCCCGTGTTTTCTTGCTGCTGTATCAACGATGGAACTATGACTTTTTAAAAATCTCTTTACTTTACTCGTTGATGCGTTTCCTCCTCCGCAGTGGAGGTTGCAGTAATAAGCCAAAGAAAAGAGGGTCGGTACGGGACTCTTTACGACCGATATTCGTGTGTCTGTGTGCTGCTGTTGTAGCTCTTGGGGTGTTGTGAGAGCCAAGGAGTAAAGTAGATGAGATGGAGTTTCTTACCCCCATCAATCCATGGGTAGAGACAGTGCGACTCTTGTCTGGGTCTGTCATGCGTCTTTGTTTGTATTCAGCGGCGTACTATGTGGGTTGTGGGGTCTTTTCAAAGTATGTGCTTCGCAGAAAAGGCTCTCTCGCGATGTGGGAACAGGAATCATTGCCGTATGTGGTATCGCTGGGAATGGAAATAGGCGTTTCTGTGATTATCTGTCCCGTACGCTACCTCGCCGCCGTGACGACACCACGCTTCATTTTGGACTACACCATGACAGGGTGGTCCGATACGCTCTCTCTGCTGGACCAATTTTCAGCTGGCAACTTTGCCGCCTACGCCATGTATGCCTTTTCATCGGACTCGGGCTGGAACCTGGACTTCTTTGCCTGGCAGGTGCCGTCTGTCATTCTCACGCTCATGAAGTTGTACTACCGGAGGAAAAAACTTGGGAGTGAAAGATGTCGCACGAAACGCGTTCTCGCAACAATTCCGCTTCAGATGCTACTGCGGGCGTACATTGCTGGGTTTTCCGTGATGATCCCCGAGAACTCTGCCGAGGCAGTGTCGGCTGTTGTGGTCACAGTGGTGGAATCCATGATGACATCTTACCTGGCGCGGCAGACATGGCCGTTTGCTGATCAGCCAGACTCGCCCCAAACGGATTCCTCGAGGAGTTCTGATAACTGCGACGCGTGCAGCGACGATGCCCATCAGAAAAAAAATGGGGCGTCCTGACGCCGTCGTGTTACCGCTCATTGACTGTTCTAAAAAAAAAAAAACATTGGTAAGGTGGGATGGATACGAGCCTGCATAAGCACACACACGCACAAACACACGTGTGTTTGTGTGTCTGTCGTGTGTGTAGCCTCTTGGAGGGAAATGGAGTGTATCGAGACGACGACCTAATGATTAAGAAACCAATCCGGATATAAATGAGGGACGCACAGGAAAGGCGGACGCGATGAGATGGGAACAAAAGGAACTGTGGAAGAAGCGATGATATTTGAGGTTAGAAATGAGGAGGAAGTGGGGGGATCAATCAAAGACAAAAAAAACAAA